AGGATGGAAGGCTGAGTCAACCCTGAGCCGGTGAGATTTGAACCGCTGAACTGCTGATCTAGCAGTAGCCTGCAGTGCTGCATTTAACCACTGCGCCACCTTGTACCCCAACAGTGCATCAGCCGATGCGAATGCCTCCAACCTGTAATGTTGGATAAACAGCAATGGGGATGCCCATGTAGCCGCTCTGCAAATGTTCTCTATTGGGGGCCTGGGAGGCCCAAGCCACTGAGGTGGCAGCACTCCTCGTTGAGTGTGCCATGATGCCAGCCAGTACCAGCAACCTTTGGGATTCATATGCTAGGGATATGGCTAAGCGGCTCCAACAGCTAATGGTGGAAGGCGTTACCCTCCTACCCAGAGACGACGGTTGGAAAGATAGGAAGAGTGCCTCTGACCTCCAGAAGGAGACCGTCCGCTTCAGGTAAATACACAGGACCCGTCTGACGTCCAACCGGTGCCACTGCTGTTCCTGTTCCCTAGCCGGATTAGGGCAGAAATCGGGGAGAACAAGCTCCTGAGAATGATGGAATATGGAATTCACCTTAGAAAGGAAGTCTGGGTCCAACCTCAACACGACCCTGTTGTTGTGGAACATGCAAAAGTCCTCCGTAGAAGAGAGTGCTCCTAGCTCTGACACCCTTCTAGCCGGCATGATGGCGACTAGGAATATCACCTTAAGGGTTAGGTGTTTCAGGCTAACCGTTCTCAATGGCTTAAAAGGCTCCTCTATGAGAGCCCGTAGCACGGTGGGAAGATTCCACGTGGGAAATCTAGGCACCACTGGGGGGTGCAGATTGGAGACCCCCCGAAGGAACCTCTTGTGAACCTCTTCACAAGTTGGATGAGAGGAACCGGGCTCTCGGCCGGGAGGATCGTGGCAAGGGTGGCTAGTTGCCTGCGCACAGTCCCCCGGGCGAGACCCTTGTCTAGGCCGTCCTGGATGAATTCCAGGACCTGCGGTACCGAGGCCCTGGTGGGCCCAATCCATTTTGCCTGGCACCGGGAAACAAAGCCACCCATGTAGAGTCATAGATCCTCGAGGTGGCATTTCTGCGAGAGGCCTCTATGGTTCTAATCACCCGCAGAGAAAATTGAGCTCCCTTTAGGCACTCCCACTCAATCTCCACACAGCTAGTTGCAGCCAGTGTGGTTCCAGGTGCATCAGCCTCCCTTGGTGCAGCTCTATTTCCCCCTCTGGTATCCGCCATGGAGGCTGGACTGACAGGATGTTGAGGTCCGCGAACCAGGGTCTCCTTGGCCAGTGAGGAGCCACCAGGAGCAGCTCTGCTTGCTCCCTGACTAACTTCTGAACTACCCCAGGAAGGAGAGGGAGGGGAGGAAAAGCATACAGAAGTCCCCTTGGCCATCTTGCGCAAAGGGCGTCGACTCCTTCAGTTCCCCGAGCTGGGAACCGAGAGAAGAACCGTGGAAGATGGGTGTTGACCGGAGTGGCGAAGAGGTCCACTACTGGCCGTCCGAACCTGCTCTGGAACAGCTCCTGGGACAGGCTCTACTCTCCATTGTCCACTGTCTCTCAACTGAGCCAGTCGGCCTGATGGTTGTCAATTCCCATGATGTGCTCCGCCCAGATCGACCGCAGATGTCTCTCTGCCCAGCTGCCCAGAGACATTGCTTTGGTGTGCAGTACCCTGGAACACGTGCCACCCTGCTGATTGATGAGGGCCTTGGCAGCCACGTTGTCGGTGAGTACCAGGACATGATGACCCTCGACAGCTGTCCAGAAATATTGAAGCGCCAGATGGATCGCCCGGAGATCCAGCCAGTTGATGTTGTATCGGAGCTCCTGCCAGGACCACCAGTCCTGTGCCAACTGGGACCCCAAGGTTGCCCCCCAGCCGAATAGGCTGGCATCCATGGTGAGAACCAGGTGCTCCTGGTCCCTGAACTCGCACCCCTTGAGCAAGGCTGGGGACAGTCACCACTTGAGGGAAATCCGTACCTGAGGGGTGGCCTCGACCTTGGCCGGTGAGCTGCTGGTGTTGGCTCTCTGGAATGGTAGGAGTCACCACTGCAGAATCCTGGCGTGCAACCGTGCCCAACAAACTGGATAGAAAGGCTATGGGAACATAACGGTCCCTACGGACCTGCTTAATCTTCTTAAGCAAGCTGGCCCTGTGGTCCAGGGAGACAAAAACTTTTCCTGCATGGGAGATGAAGAGGAGAAGAAAGGGTGGAGCACAGAGGCATGTCTTCAGCTTCATCCCAGTCTCGTGGCCAAATGGGTGTGTCAATACCATCCACTGGAGCCTCTTGTCCCTCGCTCCGGAAAATTATGAAATAAAAGTAAGCCTCTGCTAATCCACATTAAAGCATCCTGGACTAGGGTTAATATATACCTGATCTTATTAATTTCCCCCCCCACCCCCCCCCCCCCAATTTAATCTGCACAAAGTATAGACTGTTTATCTTAATCTGGGACTCCGCTGTCTTAGCCAGAAATGCACCTTGTTTTTAGACTATCCCACAAGCCTTTCTTAATGGAGATTAATGTCAAATATTGGGAAATTTTGTTCTAAAATATACAATTCTTGCTTAAATCTAAGCATTAATGCAACAGTATAGGATGATAACAAAGAATGTCCATGTATTTTGTATAAAGCAGTGTCTGTGAGACAACTGGGTGAGGAATGAAGGAGAAAAGAGAGCAATGAATCTAAGAAAAAAATGCTTCTTGTTACCTGTAAAATTGCAGCATGCAGCCTGTGATAGCCATTCCTCCAGGGACTTGAAACGACATTCTCCCTATTAAATTCATTTTTTCCCCTGAGTCAGGATGGAAAGCTGAGTCATAAAGCTTTTTGGCATAGAAAAGCTGTTCCTCGCTCGTTCCAGGGGGTACCGAACCTGCCCTAGAGGTGCAAAAAAAAAGAAGAAAGAAATACCTTCTTATACCTCTTTTATACCTCTTAATGATATCAGTACACAGCACATGCCTCTTAAAAATTGTGCACTGGAGTTTTCTCTTGAAACAAGTGTGAATGCAAGTTGGGTCTTAACAACATTCAAATTTGTTGTATGCCAAAGCACTTCAATGCACTCTGCAATGTGCAGAGCTGTATACAAGAAATTGAAGAAGCCTTTATACCCAAGGCAGAAAATCTAAACTCAACACAGTTAGTAGAAGCAAACCAACAATATTGTCCTGTATCTTCCAATAGCATCAAATCAGGTGCTTGAGGCAGCTGTTTCATTCTGTCTAGTAAATAAGATTGGCTCTGTTTGTATAATATTATGCATTTCAATTCACAAGAGTGTGGGATTTCAATACATGTAGATTTAATTTTCTAGTAGCAAGACCTAGGCAAGGAAATCTTTTCATAATGAAAGTTTTCCTTTTGTGAAAGAGTCTGTTCTCAGAAGAGGTTTGAGTATCCATTTAAGAATTATCAACACCCAATGGCAATAATGACTTTAACAATAATGAATCATTTTATTTTAATTGATATTTTAATGTATTTATCTATTTATATTAGATTTATTCCATCTCACTCAGAGGCCATATCATTACTATTTGTTAATGCTCCACAAATAAATGCATATAATCATGTGAAGAATATGAAAAAGGGGGAAAAGATAACAGAAACACTTTTTAAATAAATTAAAGTTAAAAATGAGAAAAATTAGTAAAAACATTAAGTTCTAAATTCTGTTTCATTGTACTTGATTGATTGAATCAAATTATTTATAAATATTGTAATTGGTTCTAATTACTGTTTTTACCTCAATTATTTCTCCTTTAAAAAAAAAAAGTACTGTAGGTTTCTGTATTTGACTAAATTTATGTCACACAACAAGACAAACATCTATTCTGGATGTATGTTGTTCATTTTGCCACTAATGTGTAATTGCCAAATTTGGTTTTCTAGTTTGATATTGTTGGTAAAGTGTCTTTTTTATAGTATTGGACCAAATTTGTCTTTGCGACTGTCCTCATATGTCTGATTAGTATCGATTAGTTTTATTGATACATTTGAACAGAGGCAACTCTTAGATTTTACAAAAGCCCCAAATTTGATTTATATTATTCAGCAACCTCCCAGTTGATTACCTGCAGTTATCTACAATTGTCTTCGCTGAATCTAACGTTTGCTCTGACACCAAAAGCGTCCGTGGATCTGTGATGTTGAAAAAGTGCTTTACACGCCCCAAAAAAGTATTCTGGTCCCAGCGAGGGGCATCAATATTAAATTTGGTAATACTTGCCATTGTACACTGCAGAGGGAGTACAGAAGAAAGGACAAGTTATAAATAAACACTGTCGCTCTCTGCTTTTCTTGCCAAGCTGTCACCCAAAAATTGTGAATTACTTTTTAAAGATTGTAGACAAAGGAAGAATTTGTCTACAAATTCTGTTAGAATTTTGTCCTACTGATTTATTAATTCTTTGCCCCACAGATTTGTGTGGAGAAAAGATGAGAATTTTGCTTGCTAAGCCAAACAGAGGAAGGCAGCAAAAGGCAGCTGGTGAATTCACAAAATTCACAAAAGTGTGTGTACACAAAAATCTTTATAAGCCTTGCCACTTGTTCAGAACAAATCAATCAGCTCTATTTACTATGCACAGCCAGCATTCAATCACAATTTCATATACCATTTCATACTACAAAAATTGCATTTAGCGATTTTGAATCTATAACACATACAAATTGCTTCAATATAGTTTTTTTAAATAGGTTAAAAACACAATAGTTACACTATACTAACTATTCTAAAACTGTATGTTAGAATTATATATGCACTTGAATAATAATTGCATTAAATAACTATATCGAATTTTAACTTTTTACTGTTAACATACATATAACACATTATATCCTTCTTTCCTTTTTTATTCTATTTTTTTGCTTTTAAAAAATTCTGTTTTCTATTTCTATTTGATACTAATTAAAAAAGCAATAAAATAATAAATAAATAAAAAACAATTACCTAGGAGTTTAGTTTCAACATGGTAGACACAAAGATTCTGGAAAATCCAAAAAAGCTATTTATTTATTTTTTGCACCTAGATAACAGGATCCCATCAGGTATAAGCTTGATAGATAAGCCAAGATCAGATCATTGCCAAAGATGGATAATTCACATAAGGACCTCAATTTCATGGACATTTGAAATATTGTAATTGATAGTTTCTGAAAGGATTGGAAATTATGTGGAAAAGCCAATTACTAGCTTATATGTTTGTTCAAGCTATGAACTTTGGTATTAACCGGATCACAGAGTGTATATTTAGTCATTCAAAAATGCTATCCACTCAAAGCAGGAAATTTTTATTGGCCTGTTTTCTCCATAATGGGTACTTAGTACAAATGGAAACTGCTAAAATAATTGTTACACATTCCTAAGAAATGCTGCATGTACATTTTCTTAAAATATAGTCAACAGACAGCCTCAAAATTAGTGCAGTGTTAAAGCAGACTATAAATATCACCCAATAGGCCTATGAACAATCTTTTACTGGTTGGTGTCCTTAGCAGACATTCAGTAATGCATCCCACATCCATTCTCTGAAATCTTAAAAATTCAAAGAACCGATGCAGCAAACTGAGAATGTTTTCTTCGAGCTCCAAATTGTTATGTAGATTTGGACAATGGCAATAATGTTTAACGTTTTAGGTACACATAGATATAGTCTCCCTTTTCCCGTAATCTACCTGGGCTAATATTCTACAATGGCCCATGCCTTCCTCTAGATTACTATAACACGTTGGATGTGGGCTGGACCTGAAAAATATTTAGAAACAAATAATGCAAGCAGCACCTGGTATGCATGTCAATATGAATCCTGAAATAACTTCACTGAATTCCAATTTATTTCCAAATTTCTCGGAGCCGCTTAATCATACCTTGGACCAGGTTATTTTGAAAACTACTCATATAAATCTGCCAGAGCCTGCATTATGCAGGAAGATCAGTTTTTATGTCCCATATCCTAGAGATTCATACTTTTAGGAACAGGAGCGTTCAGTTATAATTATACTTAAAATTTCCAAAACTTGACATTTTGAAAATACAGCTTGCTGAACAAGCACCAGTGTGGTTGTTTTGCCTGCAATGTGGATTCACCCAATACATTTTGCCAAAAGCAGATAAATCATGTTATTTGTGGCCTAGGCTTTTGCAGAAGAAGGCTTGAGCTTGGGAATTTTTTTCCTAGAGAGACTAGGTTGGCTCCATAAGTGTGGATGATAGGTAAAAACAATGTTTTGCCAACAATTTAATTATTATTGCCATTTCTTCAATTTAAAAGGCTTTTTAAATGTAATGTATTCATTGAAACATATGTAATATTTTTATTGTCTTTTATTGGGTTTTTAGTTTTGGTTTACAATTACATTTTATTCTTATGGTTTTTCCTCTAAAGATCTCAAATAATGGGGAAGATTGAATCTGAATAATATATTCAATAAACGGAGGTAAACAACTCCAGTGCTATTTAAATAATGTTTCTATAGTCGGGGGTAATGCACATTTGGATTGTAGAGCTGTTTTGAAGATGAAGCATTGCTGAAAATACACTAATATCTAACACCACTTCAGGCTGGTGTTTTCGGCTTTGTGTTTATGTAAGCAAAGCATAATTGGAGCTGCCGTCTTTCTATAAATCTTGGTGGGGGTGTATGGAGTGCTTACTTTGTTTCAGTAAGTGGCTTGCTTGGCTGTGTGGTTGTATGTGTGTGTGTGTGTGTGTGTG